ATGCGGATGATGTGATGATATTTACCTCGTGCCATAATTTTGGACTGAAGAAGTTGCGGGATTTTCTCGATCATTACTGTCGGACTTCGGGTCAGTTGATTAGTGTGCACAAGAGCACTTTCACAGTTGATAGGGCATGTTCTGATGGTCATCTTCGCACTATTTCTCGGATTCTCAGTTATCCGAGAAAGGATCTTCCTATCATTTATCTTGGAGCACCACTATACAAAGGGAGGGACCGGGGCAGTTTGTTTCACACTTTGCTTGATCGCATGCAAGCCAGGATTTCGGGATGGGCTCGGACCGCTTTGGCTTTCGGGGGCCGTCTTGCCTTGATCCGGAGTACGCTTTCGACTATGGCTTTGCATCTTGTTCAGGTTATTCAACCTCCGCAGTACATTATTCAGCAGATTGAGCAGTGCATGGCCCGATTTCTCTGGGGATCTTATGGTAATCAGCGCCGGCCTCATTGGGTTGCTTGGGAGACGATTTGTCGGCCAGTTGGTGAGGGTGGCTTGGGGTTGAGGCGTTTGACGGATGTGATTGACGCCTTCACTTACAAGCTCTGGTTCCGATTTCGTGCTCAGGATTCTCTTTGGGCCCGTTTTCTCCGAAACAAGTATTGTCGGAATCGGTTCCCAGGTTCATCCGTTGTGTCTTCACTCTATAGCACGGTGTGGAAGCGCATGTGCCGTGTCCGAGAGCGTGTTCAAGCTCAAATATTTTGGCGGATTGGTCCAGGTCATGTTTATTTCTGGCACGACCACTGGTTTGGCGATGGTCCCCTTTCGGGCATTATTGATGGTGGTCGGCTAACGTCAGTTCATGTGGAGTATTATTTGGTTAACGGTCAGTGGGATCGAAACAAGCTTGCTGAGGATATTCCTTTTGAGTGGATCGATAGGATTTGCTCGGTCCCAATCTCTGGTGCTTCGTGTGATTTGCCCATTTGGAGAGCTTCTTCGGATGGCAAGTTTTCCTTGACCTCGGCTTGGGCCTTGATACGACAGCAGCATACCCCTACCCCTCTTCTTCGTATATTTTGGGGATCTTGTCTTACTCCTACAATTTCTATCTTTCTTTGGCGTCTCCTTCTTCAGCGTCTTCCAGTGGATACCAAACTTCAGTCTCGAGGCACCTCTCTTGCCTCGAGGTGCTATTGTTGTCCAGATCCATCTATTCCTGTGTCGAGTCTTGTATCTCAGTCTGTCGAGTCTCCTTCTGTTGAGTCGATTGATCATATCTTCGTGGAGAGCCCGACGGCTAAGAGGGTATGGCATCATTTTTTCTATCTTTTTGGCTATACACCTGCACACACTACGCACATACCCCAGATTTTACTTTATTGGCAGCACTTCACTTCGCACACACTCACACACCACACACACATCACGACCATTGTGCCTTGCTTGATCTTGTGGTACTTATGGATTGCAAGAAATGACAGCAAGCACAAGGATATCACGGTTCGCGCTTCTTCCATCATTTACAGGGTCATCCAGCACATCAGGATTCTTCACCAAACCAACTTACTTTCGGCGGACAGCTGGACTGGCATTCCCCACGTGGCTGAGTCTCTTGGCCTATATTACCGAGTCAGAACACCAACTCTCACACCTCATCGAGTTGTTTGGCTTCCACCGGATCCGGGTTGGGTGAAGCTAAACACAGACGGAGCACGTAGAGCATCCACCCAGATTGCAGCTATTGGCGGGATTATCAGAGGTTCGGACGCTGAGGCCATAGTTGCATTTCACGAGAGGATCTCTGCCCCGAGCAGTATTGCGGCCGAGCTTGCTGCCCTTGCCTCGGGGCTGCGATTTGTTATTCAGAGGCAATTCACTAGAGTTTGGATCGAGCTTGACGCAGAAGTCGCTGTTCGACTTCTTTCGCACACGGACCAAGGTCATTGGAGTCTTCAGAGTTCTCTCACGGCGATCCGGAACTCTCTTTCTACTTTGGAGTACAGGATTACACATATCTACCGGGAGGGCAATAAAGTAGCTGATGCATTAGCTAACTTGGGGTGTCAGACCGAGTTGGCTCGTACCTTCACAACAGCGGAACTTCCCCGACCTATTCAGCAGATGATTCGGATGGACCAGCTTGGATATCCATCCTTTCGACGACAGTCTCGCACATAGGTGCCATGCATTCCACGTTTTTATATTATTGGCAATTTAGGAATTTTCGTGAACTTTACATGTTAGGAAGGGTTGGGGGA